CTAAATCCTTAAAAAGCTCTCAAAAAGTTTTGAGGAAAGGGTTGTATACCTGTATAGATCTACTATTGCTGACCTAAATCAGAATCTAAAGTTTTGAACTTTTCAAATTAAAGCTCTGATGCAAACCTATGTTAAATAGGTAAACCGCAAAGATCTAATGCAAGGCTGAAGAATGTCACCGTGCACGGAATTTCAAGAGAATTTGCACGCCGTTTGGGGAGCTCTATGTCAATAGCGTATCCATTTATTTTGCGACATAATGTCGTTAGTGTAAGGTTATGTGCTGTGCATTATGCTATGTCCTGCCATAATCCGTAAAAGTACAGAACAATACTATGAAGGATGCCACCTACATTGGTGAGGCCGGTTGCCCACTTTATGCACTTGTAAATGAGCACTTGGCTAGTAAAAGAAGACAAGCCTTGTGAGCTTTGGGAAAGCATAGGAAGGAAAACCATAACGGCGCTGATTCTGATAGAAAATGCACAATTCTAGCGTTGGAGGAAACATCTTCGAATAAAGTGAAGTCTCTTGGATATTTGCGCGCATACCCAGAAAGAATAGCAAGAATGAGCATCTATCTGTTACAAATGGTACAGCCGTTTCTATCATTCTGCGATCTTTGAGATTGCCTGCCACCATTTAGCGTTCAAGTCATCTTGAACCGCTAGTACAGACATTATTGCAAGCAGGCAGAAGTGAGAAATTAGCTCTTGCTAAGAAGGGTGGAACGCGGTGAGATGATGTCGATTCTGAGCCAGCTTCGGTCATAATGGATGCTTCGAGTGGAGGAGGTGTTTGGTGCGACGAAAGTTTGATAAAAGGTGAATGAATCACTTTCAAGCCTCTGAAGGCTTTGTGCCGAAAAAAAACGGGCTTTGAAATAAAGTGTTTCACTAACAACCTGTAACGGCTACAAAAGAACAAGATAAACTCAATACTAGATCGTATAATACATGTTAAGTCCTGCAAAGACCCCGGATAATTGTACCCAAAAATCTGCAAGAAGGCTAACCAGATGATCAAAAAGCATTTCTATGATATACCAGACCCCGCAGAGAAAGAAGACTAATGGAAAACACTGCTTGAGAAGAAAATTGTGGGAGAGTGACAGATTTAAGTGCCTGATAACAATATTTCGATTAAGTAATTCAAAAACGTTGATTTCTTGCTCTTCCTGGCGTTAAACATTTAGGGGGAAAAGAGTACCATGCAAAGGCCTCAGACGAAACGTGATTCCCGAGTTACATGAAGAGAAATTACGTGGAGGGAAAGGAAAGGACTTGGCACAGATGTAGCATAGATTGCAAAAGAGTGCCGACTGTGATTCTGGTGATCTATTCTGTTGCCTCCCATAACAGGTTTGAATATTACTTTCGGAAAATTGCACATTTAGAAGCTAAGGCACTGATTTGAGAAAGCTAAGATAAAATGGTAGAATCTTTTTTACCTCAATAGCGACTGGAAGAGGAAAATCATTTGCGCTAGTCAAATTCCGCACCATATCATGCGTAACATACTCAATATCTACAATATTAGCCATAAAATTTTCCGCGTTTGGTTGCACGAGCTCTTCCTCTGCTTGATCAACACTCTAAAAAGAATTGTTTTGAAAAATGGTCAAGGAGTCATTTGCAAAAGTAGTCTGGAACTTCGTGCAATATTTCACTTCAAAATTAAAAAAGAACATCACCTCCGTAGAAAATCTTCCAGCTTCAATAACCTGACCTTTACCTGGCTCTTCTTTACTGTAATAAATTTGCACCTTTTTTGATCTATGCTAAGTATGCGATGTACATGACTAACCCTGGAGCGCTTGGATACTTGTACTTTTTCTTTGAACGTGCACTATTTCGTAAATCTCGAATTTCATACATTGTGTCGTCCAGCATAGGGTTCTTCTTAGAAAGTTCTTAATGAGAGATATTAAGTCACAGCAATATCATAAAGGTTGTTGTCATAATTATTGAATCGCCTGTAAGTTTTTCGCACAACAAACTGCGCAAAAAAACTCACTATTTCTTCTCTCTACTTCGGAATCTGATTTCCTCATAACCTCTTCTTTTTTGATTTTTTCTGACATCATTGTATTTGTCGTTTTACCAAATGCCATAACAATCTGCGATATTTTTTTTTAAATGTTGCTTCCTTATTTACACAGACACACGCTTTAAGCCTATGGACTCGCCACAACACATAGAGAACCTTGAAAAAATATCCTTTGATATCACCTTAGGATTTTAGATCAAAGCATCTTAGAGTGTCTATTTTTCCATAAATAACTACAAATTCGGACCAAATGAGTCCTGGCCTGCTAGCGATGAATGATCCACGTTTGCCAAGAATGTGCGCAGCACCATTATTGGGAGAATAACTGAACAAGAAATTTTCTTACAAAATTTTCCAGTGAGAAATATGCACAGGCTGGTAGTACATGCTGTGCTGCACAGATTCAAAAGCAGATGGTTTTATTTTAACGATTTCACATGGGTTGCTCTATTCTATGAGGTTCCAACCAAAAAGGAAATTTAACTCCAAATTTATATGAGGCGGTAGTAATCTAGCCGAAACGGGGACGCTTGGATAAGAGTTGGCTATGAATCCATTCGCTGTTATTGTCCACCTAACTCGGAGTTTAGAATGGACGAGCACGTCGTGAAATAACTTTAGATGAGGAAAAGTGATTTGGTGGGATGTCAATAATGGAGTAATATATAGTTAACATGACAACGGTGTGAAAAAGTACCTACAAAAAAATTATGCCTCTGAATTACCAGCAACCTCCTAGTTATATCGCACTAATTATTTCATTGGCCACTGTTGAGGGAGTTGAAGGTGCAAGTTAATCGTAAGTTGGTGGATGCGGTGAGATAGTGTGGGAGTGGGGAGATGCAGGTGTAGCAGTGCTCGTTTCGTTCAAAAGTCCCAAGGAGGACTTTTTGCTCGTGGTTATAGCCAGCGGAAAGGGGGCTGACGCATGCCAGGATAG